TGGGCTACAGAGAAGCAGCACTGGACTGTTGCTCAGTGGTCCAAAGTACTTTTTTCAGATGAAAGCAAATTTTGCATGTCATTCGGAAATCAAGGTGCCAGAGTCTGGAGGAAGACTGGGAGAAGGAAATGCCAAAATGCCAGAAGTCCAGTGTGAAGCACCCACAGTCAGTGATGGTCTGGGGTGCCATGTCAGCTGCTGGTGTTGGTCCACTGTGTTTTATCAAGGGCAGGGTCAATGCAGCTAGCTATCAGGAGATTTTGGAGCACTTCATGCTTCCATCTGCTGAAAAGCTTTATGGAGATTTTTCAGCACGACCTGGCACCTGCTCACAGTGCCAAAACCACTGGTAAATGGTTTACTGACCATGGTATTACTGTGCTCAATTGGCCTGCCAACTCTCCTGACCTGAACCCCATAGAGAACCTGTGGGATATTGTGAAGAGAAAGTTGAGAGACGCAAGACCCAACACTCTGGATGAGCTTAAGGCCGCTATCGAAGCATCCTGGGCCTCCATAACACCTCAGCAGTGCCACAGGCTGATTGCCTCCATGCCACGCCGCATTGAAGCAGTCATTCATGCAAAAGGATTCCCGACCAAGTATTGAGTGCATAACTGAACATGATTAATTTAAGGTTGGCGTTTTTTATTAAAAACACTTGTCTTTCATTGGTGGGATGAAATATGCTAATTTTTTGGGACAGGCATTTTGGGTTTTCATGAGCTGTATGCCATAATCAGTATTAAAACAATTAAAGACCTGAAATATTTCAGTTGGTGTGCAATGAATCTGAAATATATGAAAATTTAAGTTTTATCATTACATTATGGAAAATAATGACCTTTATCACAATATGCTAATTTTTTTAGAAGGCCCTGTATGTGTATGTGTGTGTATGTGCATGTGTGTGCATATGTACACATCTACCGACTGTGAAACTAATTGCCCCTCGGGGATAAAAAAAGACACTTGAACTTGCCACGCCTATGCTGCAGACACTGCTCCTCGTCAGTCAGCATGAAGGCACACTTTACCAGGAGCGTCTCCGCTTCCTAGGCAGCTTTGAAATGGGTTCTGCTGGAAGCAATATGTGCTGCTGCATCATGGGCTTCCCTAACCATGTTCACAAGGTTTTACAATGTTAATGGGGCCACCCCTCATCCTCTAAGCCAGGTTCTTCTGCAAGGGGCCTCTGGCCTTTCTCAGTGAGGTATGTGTTCAGGATTCCTTGTGACTAGGGGTGCACCGAGTGCAGTTTTCTGGCCAATCACCCATTTCTGAAAAGTTTGACATGGCGATTCCAATTTTGGCCGATACCAATTTTGTTTTATAAGTGACACTGTCAGGTGCTATAAGGTCACAATGCACCTTCATTTTTCCAATATTATTTTATTGAAAAACACACCCTTGAACAATATCCTAGAAACAATGCAAACTTGTTTTAACTGGCCATGAGGTAGTGCTCTGAAATATAAATGAAGTTCAGACAATTGTTGTTAAAACTGTAGTGAACTAGGCCTGATGTCAAAACCTTGACCTTAGGCACCTTATGGGACAGAAACTGTCATTTCATTGATTTGAATCCAGAAATACAGGTTGACCCATCCTGAGACTTTCTTTCTTGAATTAATCAAGTGAAAGAAGACTATTCTCTATTATCATTACTATTTTACAAATGTTTGATAATCAAATTGTGTTAGTTCAAACAATGTTAAAATGTTGAAGTGAACTACTCATTTTTATTAACTGTGAAACAGTAATAATGATTCTTAATCCTCATTCAAAGTGAAATCAAGTTGGAATATGTTACAGAGTAATGATTCAATTTCTTGATCGTCTGTTTGAAGTGAGCAAGTGTGTAAGTTGGTCAAAGTTCAAGTTTCGGTCAACTGCAAGTTTACTGAAAAAGAAATGTCATGTTTAACTTTTACAGCAAGATACTAGAGAATTGACTCCACGAAGTCTGAAGTTCTTCATAATATCTTTTGTCTGTTCTTAAACAATCTTAATCTTTTTCCTTGACTTTTCATAACACCTTACATCACAAAACACACCTCTGTTTGATCCATTCGACCAATCAGAAAGTCCTCAAATGAACCGGAAGTGACCCTTCTTAAAAGGTGCAGCACTTCCTAGTTAACAGCAGTTCCAGAGTTCATGAAGGCTGGAATTCAGGATGCTGATGAAAGAAAAATCAAGCTGAACAAGAGAAGATCTGGGAATTATGAAATTTCTGTTCTGGATGATCTCACGACTCCCGAGGTTTAGCTGTTCTCACGGAGACGCTGAAAGAGTTGAAAGGAGAGCTCTACACCAACGCTGAAACTATCATCTGCAAAGGTAAAAGAGTCGATCTCAACCAAGCGTACCGTTGGGCCAAGCTGGAAAAGAAGGAGCGTGTTGGTTCTGGTTAGGACAGACAAATTCCCTCACACATCTCTCTCAACTTAAACTTCATTTCCCATCTTTAAAATTCTTCTATCTGCTAAAAATCATTACAGATATTTTTAGGAATGTCTGAAGCAAAGTTTTTCAATCACCGCCGTGTGGTTAATATCTGCTGTTCTGCTGGAAGTGAGAAGACAATCGCCGTATTGTTTACTTCCTGTAAAACTGATTAATAAGCTGTCGTTATTTTCAATTTTTGCCAATTAATGTAAATGTGTGATGTGTTAAACTTGATTCTGTTAATAAATGACCCACTGTCGTTGGTGAGTCAAAGATAATTAACGTCTCACGTCCACATTTTATTAAATTCAGATGCACGTTATTATACAGTCCAGAAAAATGAAAGAATCCGTTTTATCTATGAATATATGACAGCATATGTTCATACTACAAAACAAACAAAAAAAAAATCAGTAAAGTCGATTTCTTATGTAAGTATAGATATAAGCATAAGTACCTTTCTAAAAAAATCGGTATCGGTACCGGTGTCGGTACCTTCACTTCGGTGTCGGTTCCTGGATGGTTCTTTTTTCGGTACCAATTTTGTAATTACTATTAATTCTAACAAGAATAAAATTACATTACACATTACAGTACAAATTGTGAGTTTTATTTTTTAACTTTGGTATTTTTCTATTCCAAGCAGTTTTCTTACAAAAAAACAAAAATAATTTCCAGGGCAAAAGACCAGTTACAAACCAGTGACATGTCAGTGTCTAATGTTCACTGCTACACACTGAGGATCTTTTCACTGAACAGTTTTTCTTCAGAAACATCAACATGTCTGTTTTCTCTGGACACAAACAAGCTGCTCCTGGCTGATGGTGTCTCCAGCAGTAGAAAATGTTCACTCTGAGGCTGTAGATGATGATTGTTGCACACACAGATACCTGGTTGTCAGTTTGACAGTGTCCCTCACATCCCACCAGCAGGTCACTGGATTCACTGAGGTTGGGTTGATGCAGACATCTGCACCTCTGTGTCTCTGCCTGAATCTTCTCTGTGGTTCTCTGGGGTTTAGGGCTCTGATCATCTCCCTAATTGACATGAGAACAAAACATCAACAATAACATGGTTGTGTTATTATTGATCAAAAAACATTATCTAGGCTGAGAGATTAAAGTTTAACTGGTCAACAACATCCTTTAAAGTTTAATTTACCTCCAACATGCAGCTCCACTGTAGAAAAAGCAGCAAACTTTTAACAACAAAGTCTGATTGTCCTGTGGCCTCCACCTCGCTTTTCTTTTGTCCTCACATCTGGGTCAGAACCTCCTGTGAGGAGAACATGAACATGAACAGTGAACATTAGTGAACTGTTTAATCAGCTGACTAAGGATGAGCAGTTTTACAAGCTAAGATTTATCCGTTACGTCAATCTTTAGTTAGCTTCTGAGTTTAGCTAGCTATGTATATTTATAAAATAAATTTACACACTAATATGTTAAAGTTAGCGTTACATGGATCATAGTTTATTTCACCGCGATGTATGTGTTAAGCTGCAGTTACGCTAACAAACGTAACTCACCAGCTGAAACTCACAGAGACGTCCTCTGAATTCTTTGATGAAGAGTCCGGTCGTGGAGATAATGAATCAGGACGTTCAGGCTCTACTCACAGGCTGACTTTAACGATGAGAGGAGGAGGAGGAGGGAGGAGGCTAATGAACTCTTCCCTCCTCGCAGAAAAACACGGAGCAACTTTCTGCATCGCGTGTTGTCGAACGGCTTCGACAGCCAATACCGAAACTTGACACCGAAAGAAGAGTGACGTTTCAATACATACACCGACCGGTGCAGTTCGGTCGGTGCCATAAAAAAAACCTTGGTTCGGTACTCAGCCCTATGCAAGTATCAGCCGATTTCCGATTTCCCAAAACCTCTACCTGTGACATTGCTGGCATTAGTAATCCAGTTATTTCAGCACCGCCCTCTGGCGGTCAGTAGGAATGAAATAGAATGAAAGTTACGTATGTAACTACGGTTCTATGATTCCCGGATGACCACCAGAGATTCTGTCATTCAGAATCCTTGCATTCCATGAGAAGATTGTGTAGGAACAGAGCCTCGATGACATCAGGTTATATGGCCTCTGACTGATCATCCAATACGTCACAGATGTGACTGTTGGTATTACTACTCGAACGGTGCATGCATGAAGGGAACATTCAGTGTTTTCAGCATTGCTGTCTGTCAGTCATCCGGAATTCATAAAACCGTAGTTACACATGTAACTTTTGTTGTGTCTGGTAACTGATACCTTTGCTTATTTCAACTTTTATAAGATTTTTATGAAAGATGAGATTTTGACTTCAACAATTTGTGTTTGTGAAACTTAACTTTTCTGGGGGTTTTCTTTGCTTTAAACATGTTAACATGTTTAATTTTCCAGTGGATTTCAGACTGGACTGTTAGGAGATCTGTCTTAAAGCTAATGGTCTGAACTTACACAGCGTTGTGGAGCTTCAGTTTCAGCAGGTCGATGTAATACGTCTCATCCTGACTACTACCTCCGTCTGTTGGAGCAGAGTTGACAGGCTGAGACTTCGACACCTACACACACACAAAGAAACAAATCAGGCTGATATTTGTTTTAAACTGAAAACCTGCATTACAAAAGGTGAAATCACACTTCATGAAGCTATCAGAGATTCAGAGTTCATATCTGACAATATTTCTATTTAAATAAAACCCATGTAAGAAAGAGCTCAACCAGGCCTTCATTTAGCAAAAAAAGAAAAGAAAAAGTTGCTTTAACAGTTTCTTTGAAGAAGAAAGACCTGGAGAAACTGAGTCCACTGGTACCAATACTTAAGAACCAGAACTCTGAAGGATTTAAGAGAGGGTCAGAAGATGCACCATAACTTTTGTGTATACTGTATTCATAGGAAACAGATGGTCGGTATGAAGATGATTTAAGCTACTTTGCCACCGATAAGTATGACTCGAGCCTAGGGCTGGGCGATATCTCGATATTTTTAAAATATCGATAGAATTTTATTTGCGATATAAATTGACAGTATTTTGATATAAACGATATAGTTCTACTTGAAAATCCACCGGCTCTGCTATCTTTCTTCTCCCACATGGCCCCCCTTCCTCTCACTCACTCTAAACTCAGCCCCTACCCGTGCACTCTCCCCCTGCTTCCTGCTTCTCTCCAGGTGGAGCGGCTGCTTGCGGCACGTAGCAGCCATAAAAAAATAACTAAAATTTAAAAAATAATTTAAAAATAGAGAGCGCAAGTTGCAGAACTGGTGAGCAGGAAAAAAAAATAATGGCTCTGTTATTTAGAGATAGTTCAGATTTTATTGGTCAGGTGCAACAGAAAACTGACAAAAATAAGTCCAGACGAAAATGTTCAAGCACAATGAAACTTTTTCACCGTTTAAAGCAGTGCTATAATGTTAAACTTGGCGCTGGAGCTCCGGTCTTAGACCGCCTGTGAATCTTCCTTCCCTGAGACAAACTACAGTACGAAACTCTTACCTGTGCTGTGCCTTATGAGAGGTGACGTGAATAAAACCGCGTCTTATCATATTGCTAAAGACGCTGTCCTTAGCAGCAAACAAGACGGCTGTTAGCCGCTAAGGACTGCATCTTTAGTGATAAGATAAGCCGCTGTTTTATTAATGTGGCGCTACCTCCTCTCACTGTAAGACTTGAACGTCTGTGGACAGTAGTTCTTTTTCTGCCCCTCTGCACAGCCAACTTCACGCAGCCTCCCCCTCCTTCTCCCTCACAAGAAGCCCCTCACTGCTGCAGTTCACACACGCTCACTAACGTAGTGAAGGCAGTGCAGCTGGGGAGGATTATTATTTAATATATGTTAAAAAAATGGTATAAAAACAATCTTTAATATATGTAAATAGGTTTTTTTAGGCATTCATTTTGTACAGTTATAGCTGTTAATAAATGTGCCTGTGTGACAACTGGGACAAAGCTTTGACTCAAATATATTTTTGTTATTATTTTATACTATTTATTATTTTAGAATATAATATACAATATTATTTTAGAAGGAAAAAATATATAGAGATATATATCATATATCACCATTTTTCTTAAAATATTGAGATATTAATTTTGGTTGGTTCTTGTCTTATCAGTTCTCCAGTGTAGGTGAAGATCCACTGCAATTTGTTTCCCCACTCAAGAGGGTGGACTCGTCAGTGCAAAGTGGGTGGTTTCTTGTAGCACTGTCTAGCTTGCGCTGAATCCTCTGATCCATCAATAAAGACAGAAAGGTCTGGACCTCGTCATTGGTCCAGGGTTAGGTTAGTTAAATCCGCACATGTGTGTGGATGAGAGGGAGATGGGTAAGACAGTGAGACTGAGAAGAAGAAAGAGAAAACACCTAACAGGTCTTCACATAATGCTTTCTGGTCTTGTTGCAAATCTTGACACACTAACAGCTGACTAACATGACGGAGGACTCATGCACAGCTGAGCCTAAACACAGTGTCTAAGACATGGCTTGGTTAGCCCATCCTGAATCAGTGCATCACTTGATGATGCCGACATGGATATTTGCTGTATTTCATCACAAAGCCCTTGTTTTGTTACCCCTCAAGAAGGATTTCGGCTACTGCACTCACACATTCGTTCTCCGACAACCCCTCCATCAGAAAAAGGCTTTAAATGTTAATCCAAAATCCAAGCAATTTTGAGCGAACACTCATGAGCACGTTGTTAGGCAGTGAACGTGTGGCTCAAGATCATGGTAGACTGGTCATACTAGGCTCTGAGACAACCGGTATGTGTTTTTTGTGAACTCAGCTTTAGAGGGTTTGTTTGTTCAAATCATTTAGGTTTTGTCTTATAATGGTTTCACATTGCCACTTAAAAAGAGCCATGGTGTCTTAACGCAAGAAACGCACTGGTTTCACCAGAGAGCATCATTTGTTCATCGTTTTTCAACCTCAATCATCTGCACCTCAGCCTTTCTTCATCGATCAACTTTCCTGGAATCGTCATGTCTTTTAGAGATAAATATGTTCGGATTTTGATCGGCAGAAACTAAAATGAACAAGATTAGAAATGGGTTCATCGGTGGGACAGCTCCGGTTTGAGGACAAAATTAGAGAGGGGAGGCTAGTGGCGATGGTTTGATTATGTGCAGGGAAGGAGCAGTGGACATATTGGACCAACGATGTTAAATACAGTGCCTTGCAAAAGTATTCGGCCCCCTTGAACTTTTCAACCTTTTGCCACATTTCAGTCTTCAAACATAAAGATATAAAATTTTAGTTTTTTGTGAAGAATCAACAACAAGTGGGACACAATTGTGAAGTAGAATGAAATTTATTGGATGTGTCAAACTTTTTTAACAAATAAAAAACTGAAAAGTAGGGTGTGCAATATTATTCGGCCCCGTTGAGTTAATACTTTGTAGCGCCGCCTTTTGCTGCAATTACAGCTGCAAGTCGCTTGGGGTATGTCTCTATCAGTTTTGCACATCGAGAGACTGAAATTCTTGCCCATTCTTCCTTGCAAAACAGCTCGAGCTCAGTAAGGTTGGATGGAGAGCATTTGTGAACAGCAGTCTTCAGCTCTTTCCACAGATTCTTGATTGGATTCAGGTCTGGACTTTGACTTGGCCATTCCAACACCTGGATATGTTTATTTGTGAACCATTCCATTGTAGATTTGGCTTTATGTTTTGGATCATTGTCTTGTTGGAAGATAAATCTCCGTCCCAGTCTCAGGTCTCTTGCAGACTCAAACAGGTTTTCTTCCAGAATGGTCCTGTATTTGGCCCAACCATCTTCCCATCAATTCTGACCATCTTCCCTGTCCCTGCTGACAAAAAGCAGGCCCAAACCATGATGCTGCCATCACCATGTTTGACAGTGGGGATGGTGTGTTCAGGGTTATGAGATGTGTTGCTTTTACGCCAAACATATCGTTTTGCATTGTGACCAAACAGTTCGAGTTTGATTTCATCTGACCAGAGCACCTTCTTCCACATGTTTGGTGTGTCTCCCAGGTGGCTTGTGGCAAACTTTAAACAACACTTTTTTATGGATATCTTTGAGAAATGGCTTTCTTCTTGTCACTCTTCCATAAAGGCCAGATTTGTGCAGTGTACGACTGATTGTTGTCCTATGGACAGACTCTCCCACCTCAGCTGTAGATCTCTGCAGTTCATCCAGAGTGATCATGGGCCTCTTGGCTGCATCTCTGATCAGTCTTCTCCTTGTTCCAGATGAAAGTTTAGAGGGATGCGCGGGTCTTGGTAGATTTGCAGTGGTCTGATACTCCTTCCATTTCAATATGATTGCTTGCACAGTGCTCCTTGGGATGTTTAAAGCTTGGGAAATCTTTTTGTATCCAAATCCGGCTTTAAACTTCTCCACAACAATATCTCGGACCTGCCTGTTGTGTTCCTTTGTCTTCATGATGCTCTCTGCGCTTTGAACAGAACCCTGAGACTATCACAGAGCAGTTGCATTTATACGGAGACTTGATTACACACAGGTGGATTCTATTGATCATCATCAGTCATTTGGGACAACATTGGATCATTCATAGATCCTCACTGAACTTCTGGAGTGAGTTTGCTGCATTGAAAGTAAAGGGGCCGAATAATATTGCACGCCCCACTTTTCAGTTTTTTATTTGTTAAAAAAGTTTGACACATCCAATAAATTTCATTCCACTTCACGATTGTGTCCCACTTGTTGTTGATTCTTCACAAAAACATTAAAATTTTATATTTTTATGTTTGAAGCCTGAAATGTGGCAAAAGGTTGAAAAGTGCAAGGGGGCCGAATACTTTCGCAAGGCACTATATGTAGCTGCCAGGGAAAAGGACAAGAGAAAGACCACAGATAAGATTAAAGGATGTATTGAGGGACAATCTATAGAGGGTCGTTGTGCTGGAGGAGGATGCTGAAAGAAGACTAAATTAATATAAATTATAGAAATTATTAGTTTCATCCCAATCATCAGAACAGGCTGGAATTATAAACATTAAATCCTTCTGTGGATGATTCCTGCTATAATTCCATTTGTGTCTTTTTGTGTCCATCACTGCAGATGGACATTTCTTCTCACCTCCAATTTCTCCAGTTTCTGCAGTTTAATAATCAGATCCTGGATCTCTCCATTTTTCTCAGACAGCATGGACTGCAGTCTCTCCATCTGAGCCGGGTCAGCCCTGGAACATTGCAGCTGCATCAGAGTGGCTATCTGGACCTGCACAGCACATGCACGTCACCACAGTGGTTCATGGGACAACAGCACGTGGGTCTAGTTTGTCACAGAAACAAAGATACCTTCATGCGCTGCATCTGTTGTTTGTTGAACGTGTGGACTTTCTGCAACGATTGAAACTGGACCTTCATGCTGATGAGTCGTCTCTCCATCTCAGCTCTCTTGTCTTCCAGCTGCAACACAACCTCGTTTTATTTTACCTAACTCAGCTTTACTCTGAGCACAGGCTGCTCGTTCCTCACCTCAGCAAACAGTGAGTTCCCCTTACTGTTAGGATCCTGGGCCTGTTGAAGAACGTGACCCAGCTGGATCTGCAGGTCTCGGTTTACTTCCCGAGATTTCTGTGACAAAGACATGCGTATGAGCATTTTGTGTAGCAGCAAGTGAATCCATTACATTCAGGAACAAAACACTGATGAAATTGTTCATCTTGGGTCTTGGCAGGTTCTGTTAGAACAGAACCTTTAAATAACCCATTTTAGTTATTTTAAACTTGGAAAACAATAAAAACATTTAACTTCCCATAAATTGTTTCAGTATCATGTGACGAAAAGAACCAGTATGTGAACGCACAGCTTTATTCCAATCCAAATCTACATTTATCTTTTTACAGATGTGCATCATAAACCTACTACCATACCCACCACCGCACCCTGTATTCACTGGTTAACTGGACATCATTAACTTCACGCAGACTCTCTCACTAGTACATTTTCAACTTTAAATCACTTCTTGGTCTGTTTCCTTCATACATCTCCTCCTACATGTCTCTGCGTGAGTGCAGCTACGGAGTGCGCTCTCAGGACATTATTACCTGCAAAGTTCCCTCAATGAGGACTGAACTAGGCAAAAGGGCCTTCTCCTACTCTGCTCCCGCTTCCTGGAATATCTTACAAAAAGATTTGAAGCTCTCGACCTTGACCTCTCCAAGTGGCTTTAAGATTCTGTTGGACTCCTGGCAGGGACCAATGCAGACATGTTCCTGTTTTTAGTTTTCTACATTCGCCTTAGAATCTAGCTGTTTTTTTTTTTGTTACCTTTTCCTTTTAGCCATCGTATTTGTAAAAAAAAAACAAAAAAACTGCAGTATGACTTTTTGTAATTGTTTATTGTTGTCGCTGTTGTCCATTGTTGTTATCTTTCTTTGTTGAAATCAGGTCTCTCTTGTAAATGAGTCCTCGAGACTCAATGGGATTTACCTGTCTAAATAAAGGTTGAATGAATGAAAAAACTCTACCTCCAGTTAATAAATCTGCCATTTTTTTTCCTCCCAGTCACCTTAATGCCACCCCTCCTTCTTTTCCCTCACTTGAGTACAAACCGGCACCTCCCCCACCACTTGCAGCACCTGAAGACTCTGTTTGAATTACAAAGCTGAGCTTTGATTTGCAGATATCTTTTTTGACTTACAGTGGGAGAGAACCGATAGGTGTTAAAATGACTTGAGTAGCTGCTACAAAGCAGAGGTTTGGTGTTCTCAGGTTGTTTTCACACCTGATAGTCCGGTTGACTCGGTAAGGTTGGGAACCAATATTCATGACATTTTATTTACATATGAGCTGGTGCGTTTGCATTCACACTGCACTGTGCAGTCGAGCCAACCTGTTGAACCAACCTATTCCCCTGCTCACCTGTGGGAGCGTTGCACCAAGAACTACTGAAAGAAACAACAGAAAAACCTATGAAGACACTTCTTCTGCAAATAAAAACAAAAAAACAGAGTGGCATCAAGTTTTAGGAGTTATATTTTGTCATTTTTCAAAAATGGACTCAGCATGAGCAGAAGATGAGGCAGAAGACCATGGAGAATATTGTTTTTCACACAAGGCAGCTGACTGCTCCAAATAAGGTAAGAGAAATGCGTTTTTGTTTGCCCAGCGTTGTACTCCACTTATTGCTTGTGGAGCGGGGCCCTGTCTGTTTACATTCACACTGTACTCGAACCGCGCTGGAATTCTCTTCTACCGGACCGACACCTAGGTTTTAGCCTGGGCCAGAGTTCGCCTTTTTGTTCGTTTGTTTGTTGATGGTGCGTTCACTCCTCCCAACGAAACTGACTTTCTAGGAAAACAAGATAGAGTTCGATTAAAGCGGACTAAACAGGGCTGGTGTGAATGCACCCGCAAGGAAATTGTTTTAGGCCCTATTTACACGGACACGATGGGGGAAACGTAGGATTTTTCGTATGTTAATTAGAGGAAAAGATCCGCGTTGACACGGTCAGATTTTGTGTTTACATGCATCCGGAGGAATGCCCCCCCCCCCCCCTACCCCGCTCTGGAATCTGCTGTAGTTATCATGCCAGGTCATTAGATGGTGCTGTGAATTTTGTACATTCACCTAGTGCGCATGCGTGCTGCTGCCTCAGCACGCTCCTTTAGTGTGGGCTAAAACTTTAGCTAACAACAACTTAACAACAAGTTAAAGCTGGATTTTGGATAAGAGTCGACAGATTTGACGCCAAGCAGGACCGTATCATCTAACAGCTTCACACCGGTCGCTGAGTGGACCAGAATCGAGTCGACGATGTCGGACTTTACTCCGTGATAATCAGTAGCTGATTTACAGCAGGTAAATCAATGTTCTTAATAATGTTAGTTTGTCCAAAAAAGTTCAATCTGGTCCTCTGGACATTCAAAAAAACAACAAAAAA